CTTTCCAGGGACTGAGACCTGAATCCAAAGGTTTCTTTTTAATTTTTAAAATGTAGCTACTAGAAAATTTAAAATTATAGGCACGGCTCAGGCTATCTTTCTACTGAACAGCAGCACCGAGGTAGGAGGAGGAAAAGCACACCAGCCACTAAGCCCTGGGTGACGTGACGAGGAACTTGACCGGAGAAAATGACAAGCAGAAGACGAGGATATTGGAGGCCACACTCTGACTCTGTCCTCCTAACATTTTTACTGCTGGAGGGTAGATAAGAACAGAGGACACGCTGTTTATGAAAAATAGAAAAGGCATTTAGAACAAGACTGGAGAAGATCAAAAAGCAGAGGCTGAGAAGCAAAGGTGGCCAGGGAAAAAGAAACTCTATGTGTTTAACAGAAAAACCCAGATCTCAGAACACATAAGCTTTTACTTACAAAAACCACACAGTCTTAAAAATAGCCTTCACAGTTCAAAAGACTTAAGTACCATCTCATCAAAGGGGACCTTTTAAATTTGTTATTTTTATCAAGCCTACCAAATCCTATCACACGACACTTAACTTGCATAATTCCAGATGTGAAAACCTGAAAGAAAAGACTTCATGGGTGTAGGAGTGGGGAGCCATCCAAAAACTTAATCCTTGATACTTTTCCATGCTGTAATAGGAGAACAAAAATGTCTTGTATGGCTCAAAAGCTCCAATGAGAAATGGGCTTTTCCTCCAGATCCCTGGATAAGGGAGATTCTTGAACAGAAATTCAGAGGCTGTCAAGCCAGGGAGAACAAAGAAACAGACACAAAGGATGAAGTGCAGTGTCACAAGGCTCAGGTGACAGGTTTGTTTGCTGCAAGAGGGGTGGAAGCTGAGATCATGTTAAGTAGTTTGGCCCAAGAACTTCTTCTCTAATGTCAGAGTCAGGGAGTGAAAGGTTCCCCATAGCTCTGTCTGCCTTGCTGTGGGACTCAGAGACCCTGGAGCTTAGAGGTGATTGCACCTCCTGAGACCATCTGGGACACAAGCCTGGCAAAAATGATCCTGACTGTTGGAACTATTCCTGCTTTGGTCTCCTCAAAACTGTCACCTTTAACACTCAGCAGTAAGAAACTACCAATGCAGTTACCCCAAAGCTGGAATAAAGTGGTTCACTTATTTCCTGCACAATTAACCCCACTGCTTACCATAGACCAAATATGTTCATCCTGTGGCTTGGGGATTGGACACCCATCTGTGCATCTGTGCAATAATAAAAAAAAATACTTAAAGGAAATTCTGTGGGTTATATACATTAGTTACATTATATATTGTGTATGCAGCCCAAAACAACAACTCTTCACTCATGTGGCCCAGGCAGCAAGGCAGGTTCAACTTATGGACTGCATGTTGGACACACCTGGTTACAGACATGAGAAAGGCACACATTAACACCACCACCAGACGAACGCCGGAAGCTGCCCAAACGACAGTACAGGGATAAATATGGCCACTAACAGCAACGACAATGAACACACAACCACGCGTAGCATCATAAGAGAGCCTCAGACATCAAGTGCTTATGGGAAGAAGACAGACATTTTAAAATTTTGTTTATATAGAGTATCAAAGAAGGAAGTCAGGATAGGGTAGAATTAGGAGAAGTGGTGACTGGAAGCAACAACACAGTGAGGTCCTGTGGTCCAAGCATGGTTTTCCTTTCCTTTCCCTTCTCTTTCTATTTTCCTTTCTTTTCTGCTCTACCACTACTGCATCCCTAGTCCTTTGGTGGACAGCAGGGTCTTGGTAAATTACCCAGGCTGGACTTGAACTTATGATCCTCCTGTTTTAGCCCCCAAGTAGCTGGGATTACAGGTGTGTGCCATCCCATCAGGCTTGCCCTTTCTTAATCAAAGGGTTGAGTGTATGGGTATATAGATTATGAAAAACAGTACACTTCCCATACGTCTGTTTGTGCCCCCTGATCTGCTGCTGGGACTGAATCCATGCCGTGTGCAAATCAGGAAAGCATTATCACTCAGTAATAGCCACAGGGTCCATTACTTGTCTAGTATCTGTATTTTTTAAAAAGGAATGAGTCACATGTCTAATGTCCAATGGCACTGTCCTTGAATCTTTCCAAGCTCATTCTTCTCTTGCTTCTGTAACACCTTTCTCTGTGCATGCTGGGCCTCTCTGCCAGGGAAAGGTGAGTGGCACCATGCATATTTATGGCTTCCCGCCACGCCAATCCTGTGATTCACTCCACCCATTTCCTGCGGATGCTTTCACTGACTTCTGCCAATCACACGGATCCTGCCCCTGCTTTTCTTTCCTCTGCAGTTGTGGGGTAGTTGTCATCATTATTAAAGTGTATGTATTCCCAGTTGTTTTACAGAGAGCCTTTCCAGGCCTCAGTATGGTCCAGGAAATTTACATTTGTAATCCCATGGAAATGTTAATTGGAATTCTGGCAAGTTAATTCCACCCTTACCACTTCTAGTGCAACCCACAGCAAGAATAAAGACACTAAGGCAGACTTTGTAATTATGGGGAACCGAGGAGGTTCTAAGTCAACCTAGATAGTGGATCACTGAAACAAAGGCATTAACCCAGGCCTAACCCAGATTTTATTAATTCTTGAGGAAGGGACTGGCTAGAGGATGAGTGCCTGTGAGAATGGTGGGAAATATGTGAGTACTTTGGGCTGGGCTAGGTAGGAGGGCTGCAAGCACCTTTGCAATATGCAGACAGACTGACCTGCATAACACAACAGAGGTAGCATTTAGTGTCTACAGAACTGATGCTTCAGCTCTGATATGCAAACTTTTCTGCTCTCTTATCTCCAGACTTGAACCCAGGTGACAGCCCTGGAGCTATGGCTGTTCATCCCACCAGGTTCAACCATGTTTTGGGGGTTACTGCACGGAGAAACAGCACAGCTGCCCGGCTTCAAAGATTATGTATGCATCAGCACCTCAGCTAGCCGTATTTACATTGCTTAGAGCCAATTGAAGGGGGAAGGAAATGGTTTAGCCAGCTCCGCATAGATCAGTAAATGGAGACAGGGCCAGGATTAGCTGAGGTGGAGGTAACTGTACAACAAGAACAGTGCAGGTGGTCCTCCACAGTTTACTTCCGTCAAACCTCCCCAGCTTGAATACCTCAATCCTGTCTCCACAGGCGGCAAGGATTAAATCTGTCTCCAGGAGCCAGGAGGTGTGGAAGGTGAATCTCTTTCCATTTCCACCTACCTTCCAAAAGCCAGCCAGCTAACCTCCACTTACTGCAACTGCAAACCAAAGAACAAGCAATTTGTTCTTATTCTGCACTAAATCCTTCACATCCATCAATCTATTATATGGGACAGTTTGCAACATGTGTAAAACAGGTTAAGAATTTTCAGTATGCCTGCAATCCCTGGAAGCCTGAGACAGGAGGGTTGCAAATTTGAGTTCAGCCTGGGGAATTTAGTGAAACTGTATCTCAAAAAATTAAAAAGGGCTGAGGGATATAGATCAGTGTGATGGCTCTGCATTCAATCCCTAGTAACACATAACACACACACACACACACAATCCCCCAAATAGTTGTAATTTTTAGAATTTTTCATGCCAGTCCCCCATTTTTCATAAATTCTTCCGTGTCTTCTTGTCTCACCCATTTGTTTTCTTGCCTAGAGGACAAAACATTACGAATCCGACCCAAGAATCTTCCAAGGGTGATTTTATCTCACAGGAAGAGCAGCACCAATGGAACAGACGTCCATGTACAAAGACCCCCAGCATTCTGATTACAGTGCTTGCGGTTCAGATTAATTCCTCCTTGTCCAAGCAAGGGTTGGAAGTGAGATGCTTCCTGGCTCTCTAACTGGAAATGTTAGGTACCATTCTGAGTTGTGAAGCCTTCAGAGTCACACAAGTGATGCCATAACCTGTCCTGCACCCCTTTATTCAAAAGAAATGGATCCCTCTTGCTGCTCTCAGGATTCCTAATTTTTTTGCCAAGAGGATTAGCAATCATAAACCAAGGGGAAAGTTTGGCTAAACACCGGAGGACAGAAGAGTAATCTTCTGTCTTTTTGATATCCCCAATTCCCAGCAAAAAACATGGGCGCAGGAATGAATGCAACACATAAAACTTCACCCCGTTTTGAAAAAAAAAAAAAAAAACAAAGTAAAAGGTCACATATATGAATTAAGACAGCAAGATATAAAATAATTTCTCTTCCAAGTCAGTTAATGATTCTCTAGAGCCCTCTTCACTGACAAATGTTTAACAGTCAGAACCACAGCCATCAGCAGGTTAAGCCTCCAACACAGACTGAGAGACCAGGCTCCCCACCCGCGAGATCAGTGTCTGCCAAGGTGACCCAGCTGGTGAGGGGTCTGGGCTGGAAGCCGCCCCTCTCTGTTTATCCGGCTCATAAGCGATGTGCTTTAAAAACCTTTCGAAAACACGCATAATGCAGACATGCCTGTGTCAAGCGGCGCTCACAATACCCAAGCCACCACCGAAAGGTCGCCCAAGGCGTCTGCTCCGCGGGGTTGCTAGCAGAGAGGGGGCGGGGAAGGGCACCGGCCGCCGCCGCACCTCGCGCCTCCGCGATGGATGTGGACAGCGGCTGCAGAGCTGCCCGAGATCCCGCAGAGGATCCCCCGACCCCGTCCTGGAGAGAAGACTGAACCCGGCCCTGCGGGCTTGGAAGCTTCCAGCAATGAATTAAATCCCGAGCCGCGGCGGAACGCGTGGAGCCCAGGGGCCACTGCGGCGGACCTGCCACCGGCCCCGGCCCGGCCCCGGCCCCTCCGCCGCGTCCGCACCTGCGACAGCCGCCGCGCCCCCGCCCCGTCGGCCAGGCCCGGGACCACCACGCTCCGCCCAGTCCCGCGCCTGGCTCGTCTGGGGGCGCAGAGCCCAGGGCGCTGCCCGCCGGGGTCGGGGCGGGGCCATCCGCCCGGTCAAGCTGGAGCAGGCGCAGGGGACCCAGCCTGCGGGTCCCCGCTCCGCCGAGGGGGCTGCGCCACGTACCTCGGCCGGCAGGTGCCGCCGCCGCCGCCTGCGTTTGCGGCTGCAGGGGCCGCCGCTCCACGCCGCCCGCCGCCTTCGTGCGCATACTAAGGAGGGGGCGCTGGCTGGCCCCGAGCCCCGCGCTCTGCGCCCCCACCCGGCTCCGGCGTCGCGCTCGCGCCCGCGCCCATTCAGCCCGGGACCGTTCGCTAGCCCCCAGCCCGCGCTGCGGAGGAGGGTCGTGGGCGGGGCCTGGGTCACGTGGATGCTGGAGGCCAATCGAGGCGCGCGAGGGATCCCGGCGGCCCCGCCCCCAAGGCGCGCGCCCCTCGGTGGGGCGGTGCTGGAGGAATCCGGCTCACGCCGCTGGGATGCGCGTGGGCTGGCGGAGGCGAGGCTGGGGTTCCGTGTGCTCGCTGCTCGTTCTACCGCTGTACGCGATTGGATGGTGGGAGGCAAAGTTTAGGCCGGTTGTGGGGTTTTTTTGTGGCGCACAAGAAGGGTTATTGCGGAGCCAGTGAATGAAGGGGCTTTACGAGATCACGTGCCGGCTCGCCAGCTTCCTTCGGGTCCTGTTACTGGTCCTCTGCCCCGAGGGCCCGCGAGGCCTGCGCGAGGGTAGGCTGCACGTGTCCTGGGACTTGCAGAACTGCCTTTCTGGTCCTCACGTGGTGGAGGAAACAGGGATCGCGCTAATTATCCAAGACAATCCATTAGTTTTACGCAAGGGGTCACTGGAGCCCGGAGAACCGCAACTTGCAGTTATTGGAGTAATTAGCACGAAACCAGTGCCAGAAGCTGGGCTTGAAGCCAGCACTTCCATCCTTCCGGATGCCACCTCCCCGCCCCTATTCTGTAGAGGAAATGGCATACAATCTTTAAAAATATAAATAGTAGTGAATCTCAAAATTCAAGGCTTAAAATTTTTTTAAAAGCAGCAGTGTTTTATTTGTTTAACGTAGAGTTGAATGTGCACCTTATGCCCCAGCAGTGTTATTGTGCTCAGGACTTTGCTGATGCTTAGGTGAAGTCACTGTAGCTGTTCAGAAATTACTTTCAGGGTGACATCAGATCAAACACAAAGCATTGGGGCCTTGTGAATGATACCGCTTTTCGGTTTGAAAAAGATCTAGATCCTGAGCCAAATACATTGATATAAGCCAGAAGCTTCGCCATTCTTCTTGGAAGCACCTTGCGCAGAGCTGTTGGTTTGGGGAAGCCTTTTCTTCCCTTGGTGGGAACAAGGAATGCTGGGTAGTCAAGATCAAGAGTAAAAGCATTGGAAAAAAAGGGATGGGAGAGCTTTGCGTTTACTCCTCTGCAAGAGGTTTTGCCAGAAAAACACAGTACCTCAATCAGTGTAAGCTGAGGATCCTGAAAGCATTTTGGGGCAAAAAATGGAAGAAAACCTGTTACAAACTTCAAGCCAGTGGCCAAGGCTCGGGGGACAGAGCAGCTGTCTGAGGTGGCAACAGCTGCAAGGAGCCTGCTTTTCCTCTTGGAGACCAGCCCAAGGCCTGCTTGCTTGGCCAGACGTGCTTCTCTGTGACTGTTGGTCCTTCCCTTGCTTTCCGTCCTGTTCTGATAGCCTTATAAGTGGCCTTGAGAGCCAGCAGCACCCTGGCTTGAAAGGGTGTGTGTGTGTCAGGTGGGTGTAAGGAAGAAAGGGAACTTGGGGGCTGGGGATTTAGCTCAGCGGCATAAGCGTCTGCCTTGCAAGCAGGCAGTCATGAGTTCGATCCCTGGTACTGATAAAAAGGAAAAAGACAAAAAAAAAAAAAAAAAGGGAATTTGAAGCTGTCTTCTGTTCTGCATCTGTTAAGAAGCAGTCACTAGCCATTAACTCAGTCCATATTTGGTGGACAGTGATGTTAATTTCCTCAAGTCACAAAATGACCCTGCCCCAAAGATTCTCAGATAGTGCATAGATCTCACAGTCTTTTTTTGAGAAGGGTCTCACTAGATCTCCCAGGGTGTCTTTGAGCTCACCATCCTCCTGCTTCAGCTTCTCAAGTGCTGGAATTACAGACGTGTGCCACCACTCTCACTCTGATTAGTTGTATCTCTGTGGAGCACCAGTTTTACCTAAGAAACACCTGACAAACTAAAGTTGTGCCCACTTGGGTATTGGGGATATACTTTCTTGAAAATGAACTAAGAAAGCCTGAATCTTTAGGGAAAACAATTGACTATTTGTTGCTAGTGATTTTTAAAATTCCAATTTTGAAGAGAAATTTAGAATTTTGCAAAACTTGAACCATGAAGAGCTTGACAGCCTGTTGATAAAGTTTTCTGATATTGAGATATATGATTTTTCGACAGTATATAGTGTTATTGTTTGAAAGATTTATGTTTACTCTGAATTATTACTTCTAAATGGTTAATGGGCAGTTAAACGTCTTAAAGCATAGGCAGGCAATGGATTTTAATTTAATAGTATGACAAGTTCATAGTCAAGCTTCAGATTCCACAATGCAATACAGCTTTAAGAAACTCTCACAGAATTTTGTAGTAGATGTGTGGTTTTGGTAGAGGTGTTGTGTCAAAGAACATCCACAAATATCTACAGTGGTAGAGTGCTTACATAGCATATGTGAGGCATGGGTTCAATGCCCAGAACAAGAAAAAAATATATACTGATATGCTTTGTCCTTTCCAGTTTCTTATCACTGTGAAATCAAGTTATCTTCATGTACTTCACCCAAAACAATTTGCAACAGACTAAAGGCAGAGTAATATAGTCAGCTGTAATATGTGAGGTATGACTTAAAAGAGATTTGTAAAAATATCTAAAAAGAAAACAATACATTCTTATCACCAGTGTTTTCCCTTTGGAAAACAATTTTTGAAATGCGTTAACATATAATGGGGTTTATTAATTTTTTTCTGCACTGGGGATCAAACCCAAGGATTTACTCAGGCTAGGCTAGTGTTGTACCACTATTATTTTAGTAATTAACAATATTTAAAATTCTGTGTTTTAATTGCTAATTGGAAACCTTGGTCATTTCTAGAAGTTCTCAGAATACAAATAGGCTTTGAGACCCTCTGATCTAAGCTACCCACGGTAGTCCTATTAGTGGCCATTTGAACCAGACCATATGACCCAATGAAAGGAAATCTCAGGAATTTACAGAATGATGGAGAAGAGATGCTTTCATTTCCCACCAGATGAGAACTAGCCAGTGAGCAGCCTCCAAAGCTGCTGCTAAGATAACCACTGACAGTCCGGGTAGTCTATAACCCCAGCACTTGGGGAGCTGAGGCAGAAAGATTGTCAAGAGTTTGAAGTCAGCCTGGTTCAAATCCAGCCTGATATATATAGCACAATGCTTGCATATGGACTATAGAAAGAGCTGACCTTAGGAAGAAAGTCATGCTGTGAGAAGCAGAGGAAAGGGATTAGAAACCATTTCCTTTGTAACACTTTAATTTTATTTTTATTATGTATTTATTTAGAGACAGGATCTTGCTGTGTAGCCCAGGCTGGCCTCAGATTTGGAGCAGTTCTTTTGTCTTAGCTTCCCAAGTACTGAGATAACAGGTGAGCATCAGCATACCCAGTACCTTTATGACATTTGTATTTACTAGATCAAGCCAGCTCTGAACCCATTCTTCCTTTATCCAGTTATATGAGACAAAGCCTTTTAGGTTAAACTAGTCAACCTCAGTTGCTACAAGTAATGCTCTATTTATCTGCTTGCTCATATTTTTACTTAAACAAGTGCCTAACACTTTAAGATCATAAACTTTCTAGGATTTGCTCATCCAGCCATCATCAGTGCAACTCAAGTTAGCTTCTGAAATGAAACTGAAAGGCACCACAGGGTATGGGGGAAGAGGGACCTAGAACAAACACATGGGGTCAAAACTGGGACATAAGAGGCGGAGTAAAAATAAATGACAGATGTTTATTTTCTTTTGCTTTTCTATATTTTCCAATTTAGAAACATGAACATGTAATTTTTTATACTGCGGCACAAATAGAACCTATACTATTACTTTTTAAATGGCCCCCTGAATGGGGGCACAATTTTAAGGAGCAGAGTGGGGATGAGGATACCTATTAGAGAAGAAAGAAGATCTGTAAAGGATGCAGATGGATCCCCACAAAAACCTTTGCATTTACAGTTTTGCCAAAACCCAACTTCAAGGATCCAAGGTTATGGGGTCATGGGCAAGAATGCACAGAGATTAAGGAATCATTAATCATGTCCAAATTAAATTGGCTGGAATATTTGCTGAGAGAGAGAGAGAGAGAGAATATGAATATGAGTGAATGAATGAATGTTAAGTGATAAGAATAAAAAAAGAGAAAGAATACAGATCCCCAAATAACTTCCTATTTGGTTGCCAAACATGAGAAGAAAAACAGTTGTGGTTTGTAACACTGAGACAGTGGAATCATAAATAATCTTTTTTCCTTAAAAAAAAAATTCCTTTACGTTGTTATAATGCCATTGTTGCCGTTTAATAGTAGATAAAGGTGAAGTACAAATCATGAGGCCTGAGGCCCCTCCAGATGGCCTGTTTCTCTCTGCCTGCCAAATGGCTCTTGTTGAATGGGCAGAAATTGTGCCTTCTCCCAGGGCCTGGAGCCTCTGAAGCTGCCAGAAGGAGGGTGCCTCAGCTCAAGTGAGGATGTGTGTGATGTAGAGGATGCAAGCAGCAATCTCTCCCCTCTCACAGGACCCTGTGGCCAGGTTAGGCCTGGGTTACCTACTGCAGCAGCGTCCCTAGAAGGGCTTCCTCTCTTGTGTAACTCCTTGTCCTCCTGAACCATTGTTCCTTCCTCAAATCTGCAGGAGCTGGAGCTCAGTGGTGGCCCACAGAATAGACTTTGTGTGCTGTCCTGAAACACAAAGGAAGTCAGTTTGTTGAGGTTTTTCTAGAAATGTTTCCTGTGAGCAATCACAGGAGAAGCAGAAATAAACAGTGATAAAAACATCATGGAAAAGCTGGTTGTTGGCAGAGGGAGACCTGGATTGAGGAAATGGCCCCACAGGAACGGAATCCTTATGCAGATTTTATCAATAGGTTCAGGCACTTCTGAAAGCCCTTATTCTATTCATCTTCACCCAGTCATCACACGATGACTGGTGAGTGCCTAGTATGTTCCAGGCTGTGTGCTAAATGCTTATATAAATGGTTTCATTTTAAAAAGCAAATTACTTCTCGAGGCACACTCTCGACCTAAGCCCAAGACAATTCCTTCAAAGTTCCAAGAGGTATGAGTTGGCAATTTAAA